CACAAGCGCTCATGCAACCCCATACCATCAGTGATGCAGGCTTCTGATCGGAGCGTTGATAACAACTTGGGCTATCCTTGTCCTCTCTGGTCCGGATGACATGGCGTCCCTGTGTTCCATAAAGAACTTCAAATCGTGAGTCATCTGACCACAGAACAGTCTTCCATTTTGCCACACTCCATTTTAAATGACCCCTGGCCCAGTGCAAATGTCTGAGCTTGTGGAGCTTGCTTAGAAATGGCTTCCTCTTTGCACTGTAGAGTTTCAGCTGGCAACAGCGGATGGCACGGTGGATTTTGTTCACTGACAATGCTTTCTGGAAGTATTCTTGAGCCCATTCTGTTATTTCCTTGACAGTGGCATTCCTGTTTGAGGTGCAGTGACGTTCAAGGGCCCGGAGATCACGAGCATCCAGTAGAGTTTTACAGCCTTGACCCTTACGCACAGCGATTGTTCCTGATTCTCTGAATCTTTTGACGATGTTATGCACGGTTGATGATGATAACTTCAAAGTCTTTGCTATTTTACGTTGGGTAACACCATTCTGGTATTGCTGCACTATCTTTCTGTGCAACAATGGTGGAATTGGTGATCCTCTTACCATCTTGGCTTCTGAGAGACACTGACACTCTGAGAAACTCTTTTTATACCCAATCATGTTTTCAATTGACCTAATTAGCATTACTTGGTCTTCCAGCTGTTTGTTATATGCTCAATTTCCTTTTGCTAGCCACTTATTGCTACTTGTCCCAACTTTTTTGGGATTTGTTGACACTGTGAAATTTTGAATCAACATATTTTCCTTTAAAATGTTACATTTACTCAGATTAAACTTTTGATCTGTCATCTATGTTATATTACAAATAAAATATTGACATTTGCCATCTCCACATCATTGCATTCAGTTTTTATTCACAATTTGTTTAGTGTCCTAACTTTTTTGGAATCCGGTTTGTAGATCTCCAGTAGAATGTAATGGGTTTGCTGGTTCTGTCTCAGTGAGGCTCAACTTGCTCGTTCTTTAAGCTTCTAATATCACAACGACTCAGTGTAGACTGATCGCTGTGAGAGTGCTTTATATTATAAGGATTATTTTTAGTCTTCACTTTGTCTTTTACATGTTTGTTTTCAGTCAATGCTCATCAAAGACCAAAGCATATAAAAACAAAGAAAGTAAAAATAACTGTAAAAGGCAATGCACTTTCTTTAATTCCTTCCAGGGTCACACGGCAGAGGTGCTCTCGTTGTGCTTTGACACAGTGGGCAGTCAACTCATCACTGGTTCCTTTGACCACACAGTTGCTATATGGGATGTTGCTTCCAAAAGGTCAACAGTATATTATCATCGTTGTTCATGACCCGCCACTTACAGTGTACTCTACACTAAACATTACAAAATACTGCACAAGTAAATACATGCTGCTTTCTTCTGTTTTCATCCTAGTCGTATGCACACTTTGATTGGTCACGTAGGAGAAATCAGTAACGCTCAGTTTAACTGGGATTGCTCCCTGATAGTTTCAGGTTCCATGGACAAAACCAGTAAGGTAAGACCATCATCTTGGAAACCCATTTTTGACAATATGAGCATGCTTTTCTTTACATACTATCTAATTCATTTTATATAACTGTTTGTATTTACTCTATAATCTCACTTCACCAAACAATAATATTTGTGACTCACAAAAACAGAAGATTATTCATATTCCGTCACCTAAAGTTTGAAACTAATTGAAAAGGTTTTGTAGGTGTTTGAAAGAAATGGCTCATGTCCCACAATATACACCTCTATTTCTCTCTCTCCGCCTCTCACCCCTTCCTGTCTTTAAGGTTTCTGTCAGTTCCAGGAGAAAAATTCAAGTTGACTTCATTAATTATGCCAGATGACTCATACTTACAAGTATAAATCCTCCACTTCACTGCACCGCTTGGGGGGGTGGGGTGGTGTGGGGGGGATGGGGGTAGAGAACAGCTAAAATAAAAGCGTCTCAGACGAAATGCTAACATGCAGTATATTTTGAGTCTTGTGTGTTTGAGTAACTCTTGTGTGAGAACGTGTAGGTTTGATTTTTTTTTTCCACACTTTTGGGCAAAGATATTTCCAGAATAATAAAAGATTTTTAATGTTCAAAACACTCAAATTAATTTAAATTATTTCTAAAAGAAGAAACAATCGGAAAAAAAAAAAAAAAAAATCATAGTAATTGGTGCCTTCTGCCGCATCAAATTTTAAGTGAATATAAAAACTGTATTTTTTTTATTTTAACATATGATATGCTTGTATTATTGGTTATAAATGCAATGCAAATCATTGTGGATTTTATTTATTTAACATCTATGTACATTTTTTGTGAAACAAGGTTACTTAATGCTAATAAAGAAACATGTATGTCTTTGTTTTATCTCTAGTCCTGTTTGATTTTTGCCTTTTTTGAACACAATATGGTTGTTATGATCAACTAAATAAGGCTGACTTGTGCTTTGTGTAGTTGTGGGAGGCTGTAGGTGGGCAGTGTGTTGCCACCCTGGCTGGACACACACAGGAGGTGTTGGACGTGTGTTTTGATTTAAGTGGTCAGCTCATCGCCACTGCTTCTGCTGATGGTGAGACACATTACACAGTATTTCAAGTCGCAATGGTAATAAATCATTTTATTATAATTAACGTTGGCTTTAAATATCCAGTTTTTATATTTTGCAGATGCTTATGTGTAGTGTTTTTTTTTTTAAATGTTGTGATATTCAGTGTAAAGCATGAACACTAAAGGGTTAATCTGTCTGTGTCTCCCTCAGGCACAGCTCGAGTATTCAGTGCAACCACACACGAGTGTCTCGTCACGCTGAGGGGACATCGTGGAGAAATTTCCAAGGTATGCTCGCAAATCCAAAGTAACTATTTCAAGAGATGTGCAATGTCACAACTGAGTGGGTTAAATTTACATTACTCTGCTCCATTCTGCAGTCAATTTATAGTTGATAATATAAAAGTATAAATCCATTTAATACAAACTAGAAACAAAAAGTTTGGCTCTGTTTGCTAAATTTTGTCCACTTTATTCCGGACTCAGTTTTACCAAAGCTACAACAGTGACGAGGTTTCACATTAAGTTTAAAATGCTGATTTTCAAAATGTAAACCAATATTTTCTTTATAATAAAATTAAAATCAAACAGACATGACGATTTTGTGCCACAAAGCAATATTTTGATATTTAAAGTGGTATTCTATGGATGTTTTCATTAGACGTAGATGAACACTGCATAATTCATTGATTCACAAAGGAAAAATCAAAATATAAGAAAATATATTGTAGTATCTGTGCAGTAGAAGTCCCTCCAAGTGTTCTCAGATTGGAACACCAGGCACAAATTCTCTCTGAGGATGAGCTAATGGCCAAGTGAGGTCAAAACTCAAGTGGATTGCTGTCATTTTAAAACAAATCCAATATCAAAATCTTCATAGATATTCAACCAAATGTTCTTTCATTGAGTTTTTGCTGTTTTTCCCCCACCAGATAATTTGCCTCGTTATGCCTAACACTGTCTGTTTGCAGCACAAGTTTCACATGAACTATTATTGTTCTTAGACCATAGTAAGACTTTGGAGTAAATAACCTTATACACTGTAAATCACCATCAAATGCAAAAATATTTGAGGCGTAAAGATTTATAAAATACTGAGTGGTTATGAAAACCTTTGGACTGGAGTTGTTTAAAGATGGCAGGAATCTGTGCAGGATGTGGAGTTGCTCTGATTAGCCGTTAGCTCGTCTCCACCGAGAGAATTTCTCTTCAAGTGAATAGACTGGTTACTGCTGGTAAAATATGGATTACTGATAATAACTCCACAAAACACCCCTCCAAAAATATTACTTATCTCTAATGACCGTCATCGGCAAACAATAAAACCTTTAAACTAATAGCTAAAATATTTAAAATGTTCTGCAATTTAACATTGCAAATAACTGGGCTGATGCTAAAACCTCTATGATATAAATAAAGATCCAATATTAGGATTGGCATCATGAATTAGTAAAAAGCAGCAATTCATAAATCTGTTGTGTAAAATAATTTCAGCCTTTTAGCTCACTACTTTTAAATAAGCCAATTGTTTCCATCCATCCATCCATCCATTTTCTTTACCCGCTTATTCCATTTTGGGTCACGGGGGTCGCTGGTGCCCATGTCCAGCAATCACTGTGCGAGGGGCGGGGTACATCCTGGATGGGTCGCAAGTCCATCACAGGGACACATAGAGACAAACGAGACAAACAACCATTCACTCTCTCACTCACACCTAGGGACAATTTAGAGTTACCAATCAGCCTAACATGCATGTTTTTGGTCTGTGGGAGGAAACCGGAGTACCCGGAGAAAACCCACGCATGCACGGAGAGAACATGCAAACTCCACCCAGAAAGGCCCCTGGACCGGGGTTTGAACCAAGGACCTGCTCGCTGAGAGGCAGCAGCTCTACCAGTTGCGTCACCGTGCTGCCCAATTGTTTCCATTACATGTAATTTGCATGTAGAAAAAATAATTTTCAGTGGTCCTAATTTTAAATGTAATATTAGCCTACACCAGGGGTCTGCAGCCTTTATGATCAAAAGAGCCATTTCTGTCCCTTCATTCACTAAATTAAACGTGTCCAGAGCCACAAAACCTGCTACAATTGACATTATCAACTGGTGGCCCATGGGCCAGTTTAAGTTTGTTAGAGGGAGCTTTTCTGGCCAGTAGGCGTGACATTATAAACATCCAATGATTGTTAACATTTATTGATATTTTTACATTTTGAGACAAAAGGAAAGACTGGATTCCATCCATCCATCCATCCATCCATCCATCCATCCATCCATCCATCCATCATCTTTACTCGCTTCTTCCTTTTCATGTTACGGGGCTCACTGGTGCCCATATCCAGGTCACAAGTATATCACAGAAGACTGGATTCTTGTAAAGAATAAAATATTATTTTTCCATTTAAAAAAAAACATCCTAAAACAATGAACTGTTTAATGTGTTTTAAAACAGTTTTAAAAACACTTACGTGTTGTTTTGTTTTGTTTTTTTATTGTGGAGAAATTGAGTATCCTACTTTGAAGAAATAAAGCATAATTTTAAAGGGTGTATAATTCCCTCTGTGTATTAGTACTATTTCCTCTGTGTATTAGTACTAGTATCCATATATTTGCAAAGGAAATGACAGGAAAACTGCTAAAACTAGTCATTTTTTGTTGGATAACGTCCTATAAATTCAGTTTTATGTTAGTTTTGGTCAAAGCTTGAAAGAGCTGCTGCAGAGCGACCAAAGAGCCACATGTGGCTCCAGAGCTGCAGGTTGCAGACCCCTGGCCTCCAGTGTACATCAATGCTATGCTAAAATATATAAATATAAATGTATCACTAATAAGAATTTATTATTTATTTATAATGCTTTAAAAATAGTACTGCTGAAGTGAAGAGAGCAGCGCTGGTTTCAGTCCCAAACTGTCACTTTGATCTTGTACCATCACTTTGTACATTTCAACCTGAGTATTACATTTCATAACATAAATCCCATAGTCTGAAAAAAAAACATAACCTTGTGTTACAGGGATTTGTGAAGTCAAACTGACACGTTTTGCATTATTTATGTATGTCTGGCTAAGTACTGACCCTGTTCTTTGATAAAAGTGATTTTTCCATTAGCTATGCATGCATGTGGCTCAGAGGGGTTCTTTCTGAATGTCTTTCCTGAAACACAGACCGTCAGTAAAAGTAACACCAACAGCCTGGATAGATGATCGTTCCAGAGGATTATGACACTAATCTCTTCCTAACAGGACACTTCCCCCACCCTCCTGCATACATTTTTACCATTTTCACAGATCTTTCATTCTATTTCAGCTAAGTATGCCTTTCCTGTTGATTTCATTATGTCCTCGCATCCTTTATTACCCGTTAATCTTGGTAATCTTTCTGTTATTTAGGAAAAAATATAAATGATGGACTATTAACAAAATGAAGCTGATTCTAAAGACAAGAATGTGTCTCCAAGTGGTTTTTGGAGTATTTTCATACTGATTTTCATGCCAGGAATTCACAAGATTTTCATTTTCATACATAATAATAAAGGAAATTATTCTCATCTTAGATGCACCATTAGCTTTGCATGTGTGTGTGTGTGTGTGTGTGTGTGTGGGGGGGGGGATCTTGAGTCAAGCTTCTTAATGGAAAAATCCTCTCTGAAATGAAATATTTTGCTCATGGTATAACATAAAGATCTAGTTGTGAATGTAATCTAATCATGTTAGATCTAAGTACAATAGAATGACCACAAGATGGACGCTCACACAGTGGAAGAATAAATGAGAAAAATGCCATTATGACTGTTTCATTAAGTAACAATATAGATCAGAGCATCCAAACATCCTCTTTGACATGCCAGTTTATACAGCACCTATTTTTAGAGACAACGCTCTAAAGAGCTTTACAACTCAGCATAACGTAAAGTTTATGCTGTTCAGATATTTATATTTGTGCCCATTTTTTATTTTCTGTCCACTGAAATTCACATTCTCTTAATTTTCAAATTCATTAGAGCCTCTATTTTTATCCTGCTCCAGCCTTTAGCTTTTATATTTAGCCACTTTTCAAGTACCGTATTTTCTGTCGTACATGTCGTTCTGTCGTATCAGTATAAGTCGCATGAGTCCAAATATGTGAAACGTAAAGTAAGTGGAAAAATCCATAAATACGTCACTTTGCTGTATACGTCACATCCATTATGTGTCACCGCTGACGCGTCGCGATTGTTGCATGTCACCATTGACAACCCGGAAATGTGGGCCGGTGCTGTGCCAAAAATCGATATGGTGGCCGCGGGAGCGTTCACTGAAAGATTTGAACAAGAATTGAACAAGATTAACACTTAAAAACAATTATTTGTTTGCCCGACTTTATAGTACATGCGTGTCTCAGTCTAACGTTTGTTTAATAAAAGGACTTTAACGGTCAGATCAGCTGTATTTCAAAAGTATTCGCTGCCTCGGTGCTCCGGGAATGCGCAGACAGAGCAAAAAGGAAGGAGGAACACTGTGCGTTTCATCGAAATTTAACAAGATAAGCACCTAAAACAATTATTTATTTGCTCGACATTACAGTAAAGGTGTGTCTCAGTTTAACTTGTACTTCATAAATGTACTTCACTGGTCAAATCAGCTGCATTTTGATGCGGCGATGCAGAGAAATGCAGCTGATTTGACAGTTGCTCCAAGCGAGCTGGACGACAGTGGCAGACTATGGCAAGCCGATTGTGTCATTAATAGCCATTTTTACCTATTACAATGACATGCCATACTACTCAAGTGCCATCTAGTGGCTGAAAATGGTAGTGTTCAATATTTTCAGTCAGAATGAATGAAAACGGTCATATCTCAGCCAAAAATTGGTTTATAAATATGGAAAAAAAATCCATAAATACGTTGCTTCCAGGTATAAGTCGCAGGGCATGCAAATATTGCAAAAAATGTGACTTGTAGGCCAAAAAATATGGTACATTAAGTTTGAAATTTGATTTCTGCCTTATCCTTTATTATCAATTTAAAGTTTTATTAACTTTTTTTTAATTTTTATTATTATTAAAGACACTCTTGACAGTAAAGGCCATCTAGAGCTTATTTGATATGATCCTTCTCTTATTGTTAGGCTATAAGGGATTACTAATTCTGAGCTGTAGTACGATTACCTTATATTTTTTTCAATCATTTCCACTAAAGCCAGCATCTTACTGGGCTGTGAATGGTGGTGACAAATTGCGAACACATTTACGAGGGAATTTCTGAAAGATGTCTTGAAAGATTCACGGGAGTTCTCAGTGTTTCTTGTGAGTTACAGACTCTTATTCTCATGTTGCATGAAGTTTGAATATGTTAAAAAAAAATTCTTGCAAAATAGTCACATAGTCGTGGGCATTTTGAAACTACGTCAAGTCTTTCTCAATTTTGTTTCCGTACTTCGAGACTGCTTGAGCAGCGTTTTTCATCCAAATGTATGAGAACACTTAAATTTGTCTCAAATGTTGCCAGGGCTTTGCTAGATGTGGTCTTCAGTGTGCTTTCAAATAAAATTTGCATGATTTTTCACAATTTTATAACTCTAGCTAGTCTTATGTTGTACCTCAAATTACTTTGTTTCTAAAACATCAAAAAAGTTTTACTTCACCTATTTCCTTTCACATTGTTTATCCACTATTTCTACCCAACGTTCTAATTTAACACTCTGTTGGTCACAAGTGCTCACCTCTTCTATGTCTCTGTGTAGATCTGCTTCAGCCCCCAGGGCAGCAGGGTCCTGACTGCCAGCGCAGACAAGACGGCACGATTGTGGGACGTTCAGTCTGGAACCTGCCTTCAAGTCCTGGAGGGCCACACGGACGAGATCTTTTCTAGTGTTTTTAACTACGAGGGTGACACAATTATTACAGGTACCACCGAGACGCCACCTCTGGCAGTCACATTTTAATCCGACATCCCACCACGGTTAAAACATCACCCTGAGGGGTAAATAAAACTCACCATGCCAGATGTCAGAAGTGCTTAATTGCAAACATCAGATGAGAAGCATGCAGCTGAGTTCCTCTGTGCAACCACCTGTGTATGTGTGTGCTCCTCTGCAGGCAGCAAAGATAATACTTGTCGAATCTGGTACTGACCTGTCGCTCAACCCATCGGTGACTCGGGAGCACAGAAACATGGATACAAATATCAAGTGTGGATGACCAGCTCAAAAAGAACCTGTTGTCACAAAGAAATAAAGACTTCTTTACAAATTCTGTAAGTGTGACGTATGAAGGGTATAAATAATGAGCTCGATGTTCAAATGTGCACCAAAAACTTTTTTTTTTTAAAACAACTGACTGTTAAAATACGGTCCAATTAATTTGTTCAAATAAAATTTAATTAATCAAATGTTTCCTGTAGTTTGCACCACACCCTAATTCTCAATTGTGTTGTTCCCCAACAACTAGTTGCATGCCAGTCTGTATAAATTACAAAAAAATAAAATATAAACAGAATATGCCCTTACAGATCTGTGATTATACACATCATGACATGAAAACAAAAAGTATACGAATCAGAAATGATCTTAGAAAAGTCTTTTTTGCTGCCTGTCTATTTGAGGAGGCTTAAAGGGCCATTTTCAAACAATTCAAAGTTCATCATTCCGCAGAGTGAACCAATTATTCACAAGAGAAAAACACTTGAGCTCTCATAAATGTACATCGCAGCAAGTTCACCTGAAGGTCAGACTGTCTGAGACTCAGAGAACCTGGTCAAAATAAGCAACATCTCTAACTCTGTAGTGTGCAGCGTGCTGAATGTTAAAGTTCATGACATTATAACAACAAAACAGACTGAACAAATGCTGCACGTTTATTTTCACATAAACGTGCAGCACGTCCTCTGTAGAAAAGCTGATAGAGGGGTGAATGACTTGAGGTTTTTTTTGCAAATGCTTGACTTGAATACCTTAAAGTTCTTGTATCAACCACAAACTCCTCTACATATTAAAGTATTAAAGAGACAAATTTGAGTTAATTTAAAATGTGGAAGAAAAAAAAAGGGTTATGCAAAAATACAAAAAACATCCGAATATAGTAACTTATGTAGTCAAAGCCCAAGTTTTACCCTAAATAAAATGCTTTCCTGGCACTATGGGAGAGCTGGATGTTAACGAACTGAAGCAACATTATACAAAGAGTGGGTCAAAATTCAACCAACACAACAATATGAGAAACTGAGGAGGTCAAACTAAATATTTCAAACTATAACTTAAAGGTGGTTAAAGAAAATACTAAATATTTGCTCTATTGAGTTTTTAATGCATCTTTTTCTGGATTGTGGTTTACAATAATTATTGATCATATGCAATACTTCATCTATTTTTGCTCATCTGAAGTTGCATTTACATCATTTCAAAGGACCAGATGAGTTTCATAATTATAACTATTATAATTGATATAACTTGTTATCACTTATCTCAGGGTTCTGCAACCTTTGCGATAAAAATAATTTAGCCACTTTTCTTACTATGACGTGTCTGGAGCTGCAAAACCTGCTACAGCTGTGTACTGTCAACTGGTGGCCCATGGACCACTAGAAGTTTGCTGGAGAAGGCTTTTCCAGCCAGTAGGGGGTGATATTATAAAACTAAAAATGTCTATTATTAACATGTATTGATCTTTTTACATTTTATTACAAAATAAAAGACCAGATTCATGTAAAGAAAGAAAAAAATATATAATTTTGAACAACTTTATAAAAGTTAAAACACTGAACTCTGCAGGCCGATGTGAACTCTTATTTGTTGAAGAATTAAGTTTCCCACTTAAAGCATAAAATTAAAGACGATATAAAATTAGGCCAGTTTGTTGGATATCCAGTTACATTTTAAAGAAAAATAAATACTTTTGTTTACTTTGACTTTGTTTTTTGCATTTTATTCTTAGTGTTATCAAAGATACTCATCATATTCCTTCTCAGCAGCTTGTCTTAAAGATATTCCAAAACATTCTGGTGGTTTTCAGAGAAAGATCTCGCTGTGAGACTGGAAGTTGACTTAAAGTGTCTAACAAACTACTAGCATGATGTAGTCCATGTGTTTTACGCCTTGTATTTGTACTATTCTTCATATATTTGAAAATGACAGGAAATCTGATAAAACTAGCCATTTTCATTGTTGGCAATAATTTAAATAAAATTCAGTTTTGATTTTGGTCAAAGCCTGAAGGAGCCGCTGCAGAGGGACCAAAGAGCCACATGTGGCCCCAGAGCCGCAGGTTGCAGACCCCTGACTTATCTGTACATATACCTTAATAAAAGTTTAACCTTTATGATAAAAGAGCACATTTGCTGTGCACACATTTTTATGCTTTAGAGGGGGAAATATCAGTGAATTTTAGCTTTGTCTTGCAAAACAAACAACAACAAAAACAAGGCGCCTGTTCCGTGTTTATAACAGAATCAGACACGGCAGCTGGACAGACATGTCTGTCTGCAGGTAAAGACCTGATCTGATGATCCTTCTGCTGAGCGGTAAACAAGACCCAGATCACTCATTCTTCACATCACAGAAATTTATTCATGTCAAAAGATAAATACATTCAGTTCTACTGTGACAGAGTTGATAGCTGAAACGTGTGCTTGTTTTTTTTTTCCTTTCGACGTTGATGTAACACAAATTTATCACTAAGTAGAGAAATAGACAGACTAACTCCACATACAAATTCAACATTACAAACCTGACGTTGTCTTTTGGACAGAGTAAAAGCTAAAGAGAGCAGTCCACTACTCCAAGGTGCAACAGTTCCAAATCTACAGTATTTACAGTTACAGCTATCCAAAATAATCACTTCTCAAGAAACGGTAAGAAAATCACAGATTTACTTAGAAATAAATGTCAGAATAGTCACAACAGAGGTGATACATTGGCCAGTGAAGACAATAAAGACATATAAGTGTTTTGCTGAAAGCAAATAAGCAGAATCTAAATGGAAAGAACAAATTGACAAAGCTTTTTGGGACTCGTTTAAACCGTTTGGACACAAGAGGTTTCAGCATGTGACTTGTGAGCAACACGTAACCTGATTTTCCTATTCTCTGTTGGTCGTTGGCCCACTAGGTGTTGATTTGGAATCAATAAATCAATACATACTTTAGCTGTGATTTTTTTTTTTTTATTAGCTCGTGTTTATTCTGTACAGTTTGTGTGTAGCTTACTAGAGAGAAAAATCTGAAAACAACAACATGCTTTAGTTAAAGGGAGACTTTTTGACTCAAAGATCAGGCGAGATAAATTTCTCAAGTTTGCCGACTAAGCTGTATAGTCAGCTTGCAGTAAGAGACACTTGGTGTGGTGCGACTATGTTGGGCAGACACTTAAGGACGAACTGCGATTATGCTATGAAGAGTGAGCGAGTGTGTTTCTGTTTGCAGTTAATCTGTCTCTAAACTGTTTCCAGAAGCCAGTCAAACAGGCTGGCCTGGAGAGACCGTCCCACCTCTTCCTCGGTCTCGTGTAGCTTACAGAACTGAACCACAGCGCCGAACAGGTCTGCAATCCGCCACGCCTTCTGAGCCATCAAGTGGACCACCCTCTGAAACTGAGAGAAAACAGATCAAAGCTAAAACGACAATAATCTGTATGAGTGTATAAACTATTACCTTTAAAAGGACAGCTCAAAATGTTTGAGGTGGAGATCCGTTGAAAAGTTATGGACAATTATGATTTTACCAACTATATCATGGTTCCCAACCTTGGTCCCTGAGGAACACCATCCTGCATGTTTTAATTATACTCCCCTGTTCTGCAGAAGCCTGTTAATAACCCATCAGGTGTGTCAAAGCATGAAACAACTAAAACATGCAGGATGGTGTTCCTCAGGGACCTGGGTTGGGAACCACAATGTTATGTAAAAGTGACCACAATATAAATGTCTGTGTTAACATTTGGATGAACCTCGATAAAATGTTTGCGACTGGAGTTGTTTTAGGAAGGCAACGATCTCTTTGGTCTTGACCACACTTGGAATAGCCATTAGCTTGTCAGTCAAGTCATAAATAAACATCATTTCCCTAATTTAGGTTGCTCACAGAGCCATCTACAACAAGTAAGATAATAATTACTCATAGCCTTTCTATAAACTCCTACTTCAAAATATCTGAGCTACAGCTATAACAGTTTTATTTTAGTGATAAAGTAACACAGTTGGTAATGTGGCCTTGTAACTAAAATTCAATACATACTCAGGTAAACTGCTGTTTTAATGTACTTTGTAACTGTTTTTACCTTTGCAACCTTTTTCTCTTTGGTCTTCCTGAAGTAGAGAGCAGGAAGTCCCAATTCTGAGGCAGCGATCCACTGCAGGGCCACTCTGAGCTCATAGTCCATGCACTCCTGCTCGAGGTCACAGTTTACAACTAAAAGCTGCCTGAGGTTGCTGCTGCCGACGCCTGCTGGAGCTCCTGGAGTGCTCCCTGAAAGATCAAAGGAAAGTGATGTACTGTGCAAGAGCTCATCCCTGCGTAAAAAAAACTTCTATACTCTGTTAACCATCAAAGTACTGGTACTGCACTGAGACACAATGGATTCTGTTCTTTTGCTAGAACTTCAAACAGAAAAGTTTGCATTTAATTATAGAGTTTGTTTGAGCTTTATAAAATGCATTTATCTTGGTGTTACTATTGCTTTGAAAAAAGTATAAATCACCAAAGATGACCTTAATTGTGAAACACTTATGCACCAGGGGCTTGTTTTGTGTAGTTGGAAATTGTTGATTGATTAGAGGAATACGTGCCTAATGTGTTATGTTGTTTGTCCATATATATGGAATGGTAACAGAGAAAAAAACAAAGAGAAAGGTTTATTTGCAAATTGCATGAGTGGCATAAACTGAAACAGGTTTAAAATTGGAACAACCACACAGAACCACATATAACAATAACATATTTCTGGTCAGGTAAGCTGTATGACTAGTTAAGTCTTTCATAGCAGCTGCTGCCATGAAACACATGCGATCGTGTAAGTGTCCATACATTTTGGAGTCAACCTGAGTTGTATTTTGATTGATGTTCTAGCAAAAAAAATGAATAGGTATAACATGTGGGAAAAAAAGGTGTGACCTCAGTTAAAAAAAATAAAATCTTGTACAAAGTCTGTGTACTAAGTTTGGTGGTAATGATGGTGGAGAGTGAGATGAGATGAAATTTATTCTCATAGGAATCTCTGATCACTCTTACCGAAAACACTGATTTTGCTTTCTGCCTGCTGGCCTTTATCTTTCACCTCACTGCAAGGAGATAAATATTAAAAATGAATTTTTTTTGCCAAGAATAGAACCTTTAAGTTGAAATGTCTGAGACAGGAAACATGCAGCAATGGACAACATAGAACAGAAAGACACTTGTCAATTTCTACTGGTAATTTCCTAAAAACACAGCTTTAAAGCAAAAATGAACAGTTTACATCTTGTTTTATTAATTCAAATATTACATTGTTCTTTTTATTTAAACGTTTTAGAGCTCAGTCTTTTTGGGAGAATATAAAGAATTAAAATAATGAACGCTGCAAGCCTTAGAGAAATTGGCATCTTTTATTTCTATATTCAGAATCAACTTTAACTTTTAGTCATTGCACAGTTAAGTACAGCGTAATTTTGTTCCGTACAGCCGTCTGAAGGATAGACGAAGTGTACCGGGGCTGCAGCTTTCTATGAAGCGCTGCCCTTATCACTTAGACAAGACAAGGGGAAGAAAACATGAGGAGACAAGGTATAAAAAAAGACCTCTCACACCGTGTCCTTGACACAGGGCACAGTGTAAGGAAGCAAAACAGTCTACCTCAGTAAGCAACATAGAAAGACAATACATTTTGCGGGGGGGAGGACGGCAAGACGGTGAGATTGTCCATGAACACTTCCAGATAGTTTCCATAGTCCTGATAAAGATGGTACAATGTCTCTCAGCCAGTCCACTCTGATAAGGGTCGGGGGAGGGTGGCAGTAATGGGGAAGAGCGTCTCTTTTTTCATAACATCCAAGGAGAAAATTGAGATAGTCAGCCTTCCAAGGCCAGGGCCAGACTCAGATTTCAACATCTTTTACAGTCTCGCTAGTACATCTCATGGCGACTCCAAACAGCCAAATTGTGATTACTTATTGCAAAGTCGGGCTTACAAACTTCTCCAAGACCTATTCCTTCCAACCATCCATGAACACTGCCACAAAGTCCCACAGTCCTGCCTGCTCAGCTCTGGTACAGGTCCACAGATTGTTCACACAGAGTCTAAGTGTTTCCGAGCCCTGCAAACACATACCAGACAGCTTAAACAGCTGCTGACGTTTTCAAATTTGTTGACAATCCAGATTTCCACCAATTCCAAAAAGTAGAATCCAGTTATCATAAATCCAATTATGTTTCTGGGGTAAGAGGGCTCTCCTTCAGCCTGTCTTCTTGTTGAGAAAATTTGATCAACTGCATTGAGAGACCAGCTGAACAAATTCATAGTTTACAAGTCGGAAGGTATGCTAAAAGGGGCTCTGAAGAAGGTTGCACAAGACAAAGGGCCAAGCACGGGAGGGGAGGCAGGAGAGGGATCTCATCATTATCTGATGAGAGATATGTCCATCTTTCAGAGTGAGAACACAAGAAAAAAGTGGCACGCTATCTGCTACTTTTGTTAAAAGAAATCAACCCCAGCACTAATTTAACTCAGGTGGAAGAATATACCTGATCAATGTGCTCTGAGTAGGAGCATCTGAAAAGGCCTCCAGGTCAACCAGACCGAGGCTTGATGTGCTACTAGTACCATTCCTGCAGTAGAAAGAAAAAAACAAAATAAAATTAATATCATGCTGTTTGATAAAAGCAAAAGTCAAAGACAACAATACATGTAATGTTATTAGCCGGTGGTCAGCATGAAAAAAGCAGCTATAGCTGAAGTAGATGTGATGGCTGGGACATTTTGGAACAAAACAAGCTTCTGATTATGATGAGGAGGAGGTTTAGTTGAAGTGGGTAGGGTGGACAGGCAGGGCTGAAGGCTCCACCTTTGTGTTACAATATGGATTAGGGATGAGTGGCTTTTCAACTTGTACCTCATTGGACTGAGATTGTTGGCCATTATAGTTAGACACAAAATTAGATGTAGGTATGCATAGTTGGTTTCATATGTCACCTAACACTCCCACATTCATCTCACATTTCTTGAACTTTCAAAGAAACTAAAATAAAAAAGTTCAAGATGGGTTCCAAACACTTGTGATGACTTTGTGATTTGATTTGTGATTTGAAGTATTGTGTCAGGAATTTATCAAACGTTCAAAATGTCAGTGACACGACACAGAGGTCCTTGGACTTTCACATGTTGAATCCTCGTGAATGTCATGAGGCGTTTTGGAAGCCCCTTCATGATTTGTCACCATTAGTCACAGTCCAGTGAGATACAGGCTTTATAGTAAGCAGGAAAATCAGGTGCTGGCAAGGAGCAATAGTTGTTACTGTAAATGCAGAAATCACCCTAATATCACTGCTACACTGAGCACATGACACTATCACTCTTCTTCCTCTGATTAATTTTCAGGCTGTCCACACTGTAACAGTTTTTATAAATGTTTGTGTATATGCAAAAATTTCATTTATATGAGTTGAGGCTTGTGGCCACACTAGAAAGAGTGTTTTAAGAGCCCAAAAGTTGTATTTTCTTTTTTTTGTTTTAAGTTCCAGAGTGAAAAATTAGAATGCCACCCTTTCATTTTTTGTGTGTGCAGACAACTAAAATGCAACCGTTTGAAAATGATGATGTCATATACCCACCTCTAATTTACCCTATGACCTGAGTCATCTTCTTCTTGCTGTGTTTATGTTTTACCCCCGGTGTGTTAGCTTTGTGTACGCATGCCCCACACCTTGGTTCCTGTCGGTGTGTTTTTGTGGCATCGTTACAGTGATATGAACTGGTCTGGTATACAAGGTTTTGGGTTGCTTTTGGGTATTCCCATGCAAATTAGGACATCCATTCATCCATTATCTTTACCCATTTCTTCGTTTTCGGGTTGCAGGGGTCACTGGTACCCATATCCAGCCATCACTGTGCCAGAGGCGGGGGACATCCTGGACAATGTCTCCAGTCCATCAGGGGACACACGGAGACAAACGAGACAAACAACCATTCACTCTCTCACTCACACCTAGGGACAATTTAGAGTTACCAATCAGCCTAACTTGCATGTTTTTGGTCTGTGGGAGGAAACCGGAGTACCCGGAGATAACCCACACATGCACAGAGAGAACATGCAAACTCCACCCAGAAAGGCCCCCGGCTTGGATTTGAACCGGGATAACCTGCTTTCTGAGAGGCAGCAGCTCTACCAACTGCGCCGCATTTCTAGAAAAAGTGCTGTATATAAAAGGACATTTTTTAAAAATGATAAATGAAAGATTATTGACTTAAAAACTGTTCCTGTGTGGACGAGGCCATATGTCAACGGCTGTGGAAGGAAATATAAATGAGCATGCAGCTAATATTTGGGCCATTATTGAGGCACATTACTTGTTTTAGTAGCAAATTAGGACATTTAATTTCAGCTTGTATCATCATTAAATGCAAACAAGAAAATGTAGTGACTGTTCCACGCTGAACATTTAGTATGAAACATAGTTCTGTAGCACTGCAGCCTAATACTAGTAATCTGAAGAGTAGGCAGAGTCAAGCCCTTGTATGGCTTTATTTTTTGCAAAGCACTGTTATACTGTAGCTGGTGTGGGGGGAGAGAGTCAGCTGGCACTGGCACACTGTAGCAATGGTCCAATGAGGTGGGGTGAGGGTGGGCACAACGGCATTTGGAGCAGCACCGAGGAGCGATGGTTACTGACCCCTCACTCAGCTGGATAAAACTACTGGTCTCCTCGTGTGGATCATCTTCAGGGGTTACATGAGACCAGCTCCCCATGCTCTCTTCACTGCTAGCACTCATTGAACGTTTGTCCCTCTTCACTACTGCAGCCACCACAGCAGCTGGTTTGTCCCTCTCACTGCCAGGAGGAGAGCAAACCGCAAAATGGTGGGAGTGACCAGCAACTGGTTGTGCACAATGTCGGCTAAACTTCTATTTATGTTTTTATTTGTTTATGCATTCTTTTTGTTTAGGCTAATAAGTATTTTTCATATCAGCATTGAGACCATTTATGATAGTCATTATGATACACATTAACATTTTATAAATCAGAAGCCTTTGGAAACTGAAACAACCGGGCACCATGTAAACAGAAAGCTAATTTATTTCATTGTCTTCCATGCATCAACAAACTGTATTTCACCTGGGAACTAATAGAATTTTTGGTGTTCTTTTTTTTAAAAACTTATTAAATTAAGTCATAATTAGATATTTGAGGGTTGCCATCCTCAACAATTCATGAGGGAAATCAGGTTTAATTGAACAGGAGAATGATTGAGTTCCGCTCTCGCACAAGGGACAACCAAATGCACTCCACTTGTTTCAAGGATTACATGTGCTGTGAAGCGGAAAGAAGCATGTCCTGACTCACTCAAAGCCTGTGAGACTGACAGCTTCTCCTTTCGTTTACAGTTGAATATGGCTTATTTGGAGGATGCAGTCTATGGAAATACATGAGGTTACATTGCGATGTTACTTTAGACTTACTGTACATAGAGATAAATTAGTTGTTTAGCATGCATTTTTTTCAACATGTAAACTTCTTGTGGCTTTAAAAGACAAATGAAAAATAATGGAACGTTGTTAGAAATTATTTTAGTTTAGTTTATTTTTTCTATGTACAAAATGACCCTGTCTAACAAGTCTTTTGGATGTCACTTCTTGGTTTTCGGTTGTTTCTTTTTGGGTTATAAGGCTTACTTGAGATAATTGTTCTTAAGTTCCCTCTAAAGTCATAGATCACAACTGACTATTGAGTTTTCATTTAACATTACAGTAGTACAATTGATGTATGTTAAAGACAATTGTCTTACTTGGAAAGTTTAATTTTGCCTAAGAGCAAAATATTTTCTGCCAACTCCTGGATGTTTTCTTCCAGGGTCCTGTTCCAAAGGAAGTTCTATTTCGTATAAGCTTTGCCCTTTAAGGTTGTCGCTGATGGGTTTATCCCGATATGCGTAGCATTGCACTGAACAGCCTTAAAGGGCTATGCTGATACTCATAGAATCTGGGGTTACAGTACGTAACCAACGGTTTCAGGTCTAACAATCACCACCAAGGTCTTGTGATGGACTAATGGCCTGTATAAAGTGGATGTCACTTCTTACCCACAGACTGCCATGATAGGCTACAACCATAAATTTAATATATGGATACATCACCATCAAGTTCATTTTGATTGTAGAAACTTTCTTATCCAAATGCTCATTTGGGCTAGAAAATAAAACTTTCAAAGATCAGTTTTCTAGCTTACATAAACCACTAAGAAACAATGTTAAAATTTTGAAGAAGAATTTGCACTTGAATACTTCTAAGCTTAAAATATACATTCATTTTAAACTGTCAAACTAGTTAAAATAAATAAATAAATAAATAATACATTTTGTAGTGGTCCTGAGCAAGACCAGACTTGAATCCCATCTAGTTACCAATGGAAGACACTGAGTACTTGAGTCATCTAATTCACAACTTGAAGGTAATGGCAAAAGTAGAAAGGCCTTATAATCCAGGGTAGAGACTTTTTCTTAACCAAAGATTTTATGTTGACCTTGTCACAATTTTTCTTTTGCAGATCATCCATCTAAACACAGGTAGGTGCATGCATGTATGTATGTATGTATGTATGTATGTATGTATGTATGTATGTATG